ACAGACAAATCAGTAAAAACCTTGCCTTCAAAGATAATACATACAATTACCCTTCACAGAAATACTTTAAAAATAACAGACAGAGAGAGCCTTGCATTCTGGTAGATTCCAAAGTCCCTGCAAGTTAAGGGAGACTCACTGAATCTCAAATTTAGCTGCACACTAACGTCTGGTGAGACAGACGTTTCCACGAAAGCAGTTTCTTATACAGCAGAGCTGGAACTGAAGTGCAGAATTCAAGGTCAGCGAAGTCAGTGAGAGGCTATAATCTGAAGTAGCCAGGACACAGAAGTCAGCAACCTTCTGAATACCACAAAAGCTCCTATTACGGATTTGCAAGAAAAAGCTAAAAAAGCTTTAAAAAAACGGACACATTATTAGGCATTCCTTAAAACTAAAAAAAAAAACAGTAATGCAACGTTTATTAATTTTTGACTCAATTTCATTTATGCATGTTCACGTTAAGGCACTAAAAAAGTAAACACTCTTTCATTCTATACACACAATCAATAAGCACGGCAACGGAAACATCCCAAGCCATTTGCACGTTGCCAGCCCTGCCCAAACACCTGACACAGCTAGTCGCCATATTTGTGCTGTGTTTTATATAAATATATTTGACCTGCTTGTAAACTGTCGATTGATTATTCCATATCAATGTGTGAGTAGGCCTTCAAGACACTTTAATCGGCACTTCACGTTTTCGGGTGAGAAATTTCATGAGGCCTGCGTGGACTGCCAGGATCTACTCCATTCTGAACCCTTGTCTGTGCTAAATTTATCTCGTAAACTCCTCTTTTCCTTCTTCTCTGTAATTCGCTTTGAGAAGCTACTTTTAAAGGCACTGTATAAAATAAAGTTTATTATTACTACTAATCTCCAAAAAAATTATTGTTCTCCATACAGTCTTAAGTCATCTGACTCAAAACCTCAGTCAGCAGCTTCTACAAGTCCATGAACCATCCGTGTCAATTAATGAAGCTTCGTTTTTTAATGTTGGTCCTTTTTATTGACTACTTCTGTACTGTTTATTGTAAAAAAAATACTTGTGTATACTGTACGTTTACCATCCTTTACTATTATTATATCAGTATTATCTTGGGCCATGCATTTCTAATTATCCTCATTAATTAATGAAAAATTAACTTTCATTTAATGAGTTTCAATAAAGAATTGGCAAAAAGAACACAAAAAGACTAACAGCCCACTTCAGATACTTAATCATCTCTTTTATTAATGAAAGAGATCATTAAGCATGGCTTTCTCAATAAAAGCAGAAACTTTTTAGCAACCCTACTCTTCTGCATGGCTCCATGAGCAAACAGGAAGTCAGTTTCACATTCTTTCTAAACATCCCTCAAAAGGACATTTCTGTACTGCAGCAGCCATATCACCCCGCAAGTGGCAGCTCACTGAAGTTCAGCAGGTGTGAGCCTGGCCAGTACCTGGATGGGGGCCTCCTGGGAAAGCTAAGGTTGCTGCTGGAAGAGGTGTTAGTGGGGCCAGTAGAGGGCGCTCACCCTACGGTCTGTGTGGGTCTATATTGCAAAAAAAAAAGCGCTGCCCTTCAGACGAGACATAAAACCGAGATCCTGACTCTCCTTGGTCCCAGTGTGTTTCTTGAAAAGAATAGGTTGTTCCCCCAGTGTCCTTGCCAAAATTCCCCCTGGCCTTTACTAATCATGGCCTCCTAATAATTGGAAGTGGCTTCATCACTCTGTTCTTCTCCCAATTGATAGCTTGATAGCTGGTGTGTGGTGATCATACTGGCACATTACGGCTGCCATCACACCATCCAGATGGGGGCTACACACTGGTGGTGGTGAAGGTGAGTCCCCGTTACCTGTAAAGTGCTTTGAGAGTAGTGTCCTGAAAAGCACTACATACAGTAATGAATTAATTTCTCATAATGAGTACCAGTATCCCATACCGAACCATGACCTCCTTATGCTACATCTCTGTGCAGTAGGTCTCCTGTCCAAGTCAAATCACTCAAGTTACTATCTACGTTACTCACAAGCAATTTTTTAAGTTTTTAATGTCTGGTAGTTTGACATCTCAATTTTTTTCCTGCACAAAGACGCTTCAAAGAGGACATCTTGAACACAAGCAGATAATATGTCTTTTTCCACACAGTATGAAAACAAAATGTGTGACAGTGGTGTTTTAAAGAGAGAATATGACGTTTTATTGTTTTTTTTTTCTTTTTTGCATTGTGCATCTCTACCAACATGGATGACAAGCCTCTCATAAGTAAAACATGTTCCTGGTGCTGAGCTATATTGCAATCTTAAGTACTGACGGGTTTGGTAATGTCTTGGGAGGTCATTAGGCTCCCCAGTCTGAGTTCTCCCATAGGGAGATAGTTTTAAATCCTCTCGGATCTAATAAGTGGGGTTTACATAGAGAAGTCTGTGTGAGCTGGAATAACGGAGTATCAAAGGGAAGCCAGTCAACACAGAGAAAAAAGACACAAAATTATCCCATCAGCGCTTGATCTTCGGAATTTATGAGCATTTTTAATTGCTACAAGAATCAATAGAAAAATCTAAACAAATGTCCGGCCATTTTTCTTCTAGATATGAGGACTGAATGTTGGATTCATCTTTTTTTTTTTGCTTCATTCTAGTGAACTGGTTTTGTCATCCTCTTTTCCACGGTGTCAGATAGGGGGGAAAAAAAGAGGCATTTAAGAACACTACTTAACAAACAACAAAATTACACTAAAAAAAATATCTAGGTGAAAGGGGGATTTTTTTAAAACTTCTGCACTTAACCACTTAACTCGATTTTCGGTCCGTACACCACCCTTAAATGGCAAAGTCTTGCTCAAATCCGCACTCTTCCTACCATCACAAGAACCTTTTAGTTCTCTCACGTCCTTTCCCACCTCCAGCCCCCAACGCAGCCAGCCGACTCAAGGCTCCTGCAGCTCTCTCCAACAGCTCTGAAAGCCGCTGGGGGCATCCTGGGCCACATGTAACCTGGCCTGCGGACTAAAACGCAAGTCTGAACGTGCTCGGCTAAATGTGCACTACCACACGGGGAATCCAGACCCGTCAGACAGTGCCATAGCCTCCAATTCAATCCAGGGGACCACCTGCATTCCAGATCTTTACCAATCAAATCATATGCCCCCCAGCCAAAACACGTTTTCTCCCTTTTTTAAAAAAAAAAAACATTATCACACAAGTCAGACTCTTAGGTTGCTTTGACTTGGAATAGAAGGGAAAAGGATCACAAGAGTTTTCTTTGGTGTTAGCACCTTACCGGGCCTCTACAATGCACTCAAATCTGTCTGCTAAAGTTTAAATCCAGACTCTTCTAGCGTACAGATTACACAGGTAAAAAAAGAGACACATCTATCTTCACCCAAGCAAATGAAACACTTGCAAAGGTGGCATATACAAACCTTGGCTCCTGGTACTACTAATATCCACCTCCTATTAAGCACCCAACACTCAATGATAGGCAATTTTAAAGTGTCTTCCAATCCATATTCCAATTCAATCCATAACCATTCAAACAGAGCCTGCGGTATGTTAAAAGTGGTTGTTTTACTCTTCTGTAATTACTCTCTTCCTACTTGAGGAAAACAAAATTCAATAAAAAAAAAATCCTAAGAGATAAAAGCGGCATTATTTTAAGTTCTACATTAAAATGTGTTCAAAAAATATTCCCACTTAGTTGCAGTACTTCTGTATAGATTTTCAGCGTTAAAACGTCACCCTATGATCCTACAACGGACCTTCAGCTTCTTCTAAAGAGGTATCACTAATTGCATTATCAACATTCGTTTACTCATTTTAATTTCATGGACAGTATGAGAACTCCCAAATCTAAACAGAACTGTTAGTGTTAAAATATAAAAGGCAGAGTAGCGTTGTGCACCACTGTGTTTAGAAAAAATTGTATTAACGAAGCCTAACACCTGGGAAGAAGATAAGAAGTCTATAATAAATAAAGTCATATTCAAGCTAAAAAGTTGAGATTTTGCACATTTAACATTGATTTTGTGCTTAAAGGTGTCGCTATTTAAGGTTTTGTGAGTAGATTGATAGGCTAAAGGACAGTTAAACAATTTTATGGCTACTTCAGAGAAGAACAAAGCTCACCCTTTTTTCCTTTCCTATGAAAGCTCTGACCCTTGAGTTAATGACAGCCTTTAAACCAAAAGTTCCTGTTATAACGTGGATCAATTATTAGATTTCTCACAGTCATTGTCACATTTCACTTTACTATAGTTCCCACTTACAACTATCAAGACTTGAGACAAAAAAGAGAAATGTTACTTCTTATTTAATATTTACTTGACCATCTTTCTCTTTAAAACATAATAACAAATGTTGTTTAAAAATATTATCCTAAAAGAAATGCATCCGAATGGTTATCCACATTTTTACACTTCCTAACACAGGTTCTCACCCTTTCAGCCTTCTGCTGTACTTTTAACTTTAACTTTACTTTTTTATTCTTCCAGATGGGATGTTTGCTTTACAGGCAGGTAAAAAATATAGAATACATTTAACAGAACCTGAATCCATTAACTAATAAATAAACTGTACATGCATGAGATTAAAAAAAAAAAAACAGAAGCTTTAAATAATCCTCACGGTCCAGAATAGTTGGATTTAAAAAAAGCTGTCAGCGAGTGAAATGGATACCTAAGATGGATACACGATGAAAATAAAATATAACAATCAATCAATTAGATGTGCAAATTGAGCAGGTTAATGGCCGTGGGAATAAAAGACAGAACTTTGTTCTACTGCACTTAAATCTAGGTAGTCTAAATCGATGCCCTGCTGCCCGACTATCAGCATTACATTGTAAGGCCATACTAAGTCAGCATCAGCCAGTAATGAGACCGCAATGCAAAACCTAACAGGTCACCACATTCAAGCCGCCTAGCCTTGAGCACGCTGTCCTGCAGGGGGAAATGGGGTTTGTGGGCTTGGAAACCGCTACACAGATCCCCCAGGAGACCGGGGAGGACTTGCCTGCTGTGATGTCATCGTCGGGGAGGTCCGCCTCCTCCTCGGGGGCCTTGGCCTCGGTGCTCAGCGGAGGGTCCGGGGGTGGCGGCGCGGTCTGCGCGCTGTCTGCCGCGGCTCCGGCTGCAACACGGAACACAAAACGGGATGAGCGCCGGGAAGAGCGAGCTGCACGGGCACGTCCGCTCGATGGGAAATCCTCCACTCTCGGCGACAGCCCACGGGAACTTCGCATCTGGCTCGGCCGCAAAGAAAAAAGGTTAGAGAGGGTGGAGGAAACCTCTGGGTGGCGAAACAGCAGAACCTCCAGAGCCTTGGCACCAGCATGAACGTGCCACCCCTGTTTGCTTCTGCAACGCCTAATGAATCCTGTAAGCTAGGGCCCATTCCAAATTTCCCACCTGAAAACATTTAAAAGGACGGACAGGGCTGGGGTCACCTTTCTTATCCTGTCACTTCAGGGAAAACATCCCAATGGATTTTCTCTAAGCTTTGTTCTTTCCACAATGCAGCGGTTTAACAGTCTCATTATTACAATTTCTGCAGCAAGTGCTTGATTAGAGACAGGGTAACTGTGCTCCATGCTATTTCAACCAAATTCCAGATTGTATATGAATCGACTACACTTTTACTCTGAATACCAGTGGTGTTTTTTTATGTTGAGTTCAAATTTAATAACAGTATACACTTGCAAAACAAATTCTGTGAAAAGTTATCTTGCTTCCTTTCACCAGGACATTTTTTGTGTCCTTATTGACAACTGTATTCCACTTAATTTTGATGAACTGAACAAGTTAGTGACCAGGGGATCAGATTGATTTATCCCCTCTCTTGTTAATGTGCTTCTTTAGGTTTCTATTAACCTCTGCTTCCAGACGTGACCAATGACATATTTAAAGAGGAAGGAAATCAGCCAGGACTCCAGGGTAGGACCAAGGTATACCATCTGCAAAATCTCTTCTCATTGCTTTACCAACGCAATAGAAATCACACATCTAGTCCAGTCCTGTTCTAGTCAGGCTAAAACAAGGCTTCAGATAAAAATTAAGGCTACAGAAACAGAATTTCATTTTAGAGCATATGAAGGTCCTCTACATAGCTCTTGTCCTGGAAGGTCACGGACAGAGGTTTAACAAATACTTGGCACTTTAAAACCTAAGACCTGCCCTAAATTGAATCTGTCACTCAAATTACTAGATTATTTTCATAATTAAGAGTTCCTATGACATAAACAGGATAAGCAATAATGCCAGATAACCATGTCGCCATTTTCATTCTCCTGTTCTAATAAAATAATGGAACAAGTAACACTGTAGATTTATTCCATGCTGAAAAGAGAAGAAAGAAAACACATTTCGGCCATGGAGCCTTCTTAAGGTGTGACCCTGATTTGCCAAAAATAGTTGATTCAAAATGGCTGATTTTAATTTTACAAGACCAGCAAAAGATAAAATCATCCCCCATCCCAGTAATGACAATTACCTGGTAGCTATCAGCAGGACTGAAGGCTGTCCAAGATAGAAGATGTCCAAAGAATGATTTGCTCATGACTTGCTCAGTAATCAGCAGACTAGTCCAGAACACCATCTTTGAGAGGAACATGTAATGTCCTACGAGGCAGAGGGTCAACAAACCAGCCTAAATCCTTCACATCACCCTGATCCATCTGCTGAAACATTTTCATAAGCATCTAGGATTGTGGACTGACTATTGCATGGATAAATTATAGCAGGAAATAACCGCCTCATCTGCTAAATTTCACTTGCAGGAAAATGATCTGCATGTTCAAAGCCCACCTAGGGGGACAACATTGACATTCGAGAGAAATAAATTAACCATTTTCTGCATAACAAAGAACATTTAAGGTGCTGGCAGAATGAGCAGTGGAGAACTGCACTCACTGATGAGTCCCATACAGCTCTTAAAAGACCTGATGGAAAATGTTTGAAGACTATTGCCATGATGAGTGCTGTGCATTTTGCTTTTTTTTTTGTAAGCTAAACAGCGGGGTTTCTGAACAGTGATGGAATGTGGAATCTTCTTTGACACAAAAACACGCTTGGTGTATATCCAGGGCAACCATATTTCTCACTGATGAATTTCCTGAACCATCAGCTTTTCGGTTCCTGCAAGCCAGTCCTGAAGTGATAAGTTTCCAAAAGGAGAATGCAAGACCTCACAAGTGTAAGGATTACAATGACGCAACATTAAGAAAACAAAGCAGAGGTCTTGCCAGGGCAGGCGGGAGCTCCTGGGCACATGTTTGCTAGTTTGCTGCTGCTACACCAACAGAGTGGGTTCAGAGGCTGATCAGGTCTGGGGATTATGTTAAAGCACAGAGTTCAAACCCAATTTTAGTTAGGCATCTTTTCATGTTGACAGTTTTTCCACGCTCCATACTGTAAATGCAAATTTTCTGTATAATTCTTATCCAATTATTCAAAATCTATGTTCAGAATATATCTAAATCAATTAGAGCTGAGCATTGCATTTCTTTCATGCATCAGAATATGTATACTTATATTTGCTGTATGTAGAGAGAGGTAGATTGATCCAAATCTACTCCAATTTATCATATGAATGAATCAAAGATATTTGCATGGGTCTTTCAAAAGAATCACGCCACATTTTGTAAAACTACTTCCCAACTTGGGATAAGTTAGTTCTCTTTTACTTGAATTTCTTATGGCTTTTTCTTGAAAAGTCTTAATTAAAAATACACCTCACTCTCAATCCATAAAAAAACTGCAATATCCTTAATCGTTTAAGTTTTGAAATAGTATCAAGGCAACAGTGTTGCAGACCCTGTGTTTCAATGCACTGCTACATGATTAAAAACTCCTTCTGCAAGGTCAAGTACTCCATGACCAAATCAAGTCACAGCTTCATCCCGGCCTCGTTAACCACAAGGTTTTTAAGAAGCAGTTTTTCTGAAAGTCTTCACTTGTTTGAAATTCAGGTTCAAAAGAAGTTATCGGCAAGGCTTCACAAGTAATTGTGCACCTCATACAGTATATCAAACATTTTATATCAAAGCACAACTTGCGCTGCACTTTCCAAATGATCTACGTATTAATTTTAATAGTCCAAAAAACATGTAGTCTATGGGGGTTGATTTCTATATCACATGAACATAAGATCTAGCCATCTAGCCAGCTTGGTATTATTTCTCCAAGAATGTCATGAAGACTTTTCTCAAAAGAAGTTAAGAGCTCAACTTTAACATTTAAGAGACTAAAACACACAGCTGTTTAAGTCTTAGACATCTTTGACACAATCATGAGTTCCTATATATGGTATATATTGAATATACAGTATATATAAGATTATTAAACATTAGTTATTTATAGTTCTATATATACAAAAAGTCTAGTGTTTTCTACTACACATCGATCACAATCTTCAACAACCTGAAGATTGAAAATACGCTACACATGGGCAGCCAATATGAACCACTAAGACTGACAAACATTAACATTAAGACATTAACAAAAAAATGATTTTAGTTTTGCTCGGGTGGGACGTTAATGCAACAGATCTTGTAATTTGCAGACATACTTAGCCTACATTGAGTGCAAGGCAAAGCAAGAAGTATGGGCTCTTTGAGAAGATAAAATAACCACTACCTTCTTTTATGGACACTGAAAAAACGCTTCTTAAGTTTTTCCACCTGGTTGATCCAGAGCCCTTCAGCCTGAAGCCAAAAACATATAAGCTTTTGGCTTCAATAACTTTTAAAATGTCACTTTGTCTTTCAGTCGCTCTACATTCAATGTAATTCCCTAATGTCTGCCATAATAAAACTGTCCTGTATTTCAAGTCCTTTTAAATTTCTAACAAAGAACTTGACGATTATAAGCAACTGCCATGACAACAGTTGCAACAGAAATATCTCACATTACATAGATGACCTAACACACTATAAATGACCTCTTAAATAGGAGGAAATATTTTAAAGCCTCTGAAGGGTGTGGAGATGTCCCCTCCTGAAGGTCACAGAGTAAGTGCTGTAGGCATGATGCAATGCTGTTTCATATCATTCATTTACCTTTTTTCTTCAGATATAAAAAATGACCAAGTTAAGCTCTGCCGCGAAATAACTTGATAAATCTAGCTCCGTGAGTCTAATTTCACTCCCCAGCCAACCAAGGGAAACGTCGGTGCTCTGTGTTGTGGATTGTGGATTCACTTCAGGAGCTGGTTCGATTAATCACCGGTCTCAGGGGTGGGAGGCCAGTGAGATTAAAGAATTACATCCACCCGCTATGCCACCCAATTCATAAAAAGTGCTCACTTGCACCTGATTTTAATTATCTAGCTATCCATCTATCCATCCATCCATCCAATGTAGGCCTATTCCCTTACGTCTCCGAGCCAGCTGTGCTTCCGTAATCCAAAATCACAGTTTGCTTTGGTAACTGCAGCAACACCACAGAAGAGTGGATTTCTGCTTCTTTTCCAACATTACAAAAATAAGGGACTAATCTGGAGAACTGAGATGTCTGTGGGGAAATGTTCAGAACCCAACAGTGTGCATCACAAATTTACAACATGGAGACACAAGCCTTAGTTTTACAATGCCAGGTGCAGAAGAATTTTTGTGGTTAATATTTTGCCTCGTGTTGTTTTCTGCAATGTTGAAACTGCAAGATAGGTAATCATTTGATTTCAACCTTCTCTATATCTAGAAACTTGATTTGCCTTTCAAGCAGCTGAAAAAAAATTCAGGTCTTAAATATCAGAAATCTTTTTTCAATCTGTAGATGTTTTTATCTAAATAGAAGCAGAAAAGATGAAAAACCCTGTTAAAGTGACATTTCTGAATGACCATTCATTGTTTTTAAAAAGCACGATCAATCCCAGAAGACACAGGGGCGCGTTGAGCGTTGCTGTCTCTAGATGCTGGGACCACGAGTTTAATTCCAGACTTGAGGTTCTGTCTGTGAGGCGCTGGTTTGTTTGCCCCATGTTCGTGTGGGTTTCCTCCAGGTGCTCCAGTTTCCCCCCCACAGTCCAAAGATCACTGGTAGGTCAAGTGACTGCTGGGAAAAGTGGCCCTGGAGTGAGTGTGTCTGTGTGCCCTGTAATGGACTGGCGTCCCGTTTAGGGTTTTACCCTGCCTT